GACATGCCTCGTAGGGCGGGTGGCGTGTCGGAGTCGAGGTAGGCCTTTGTGTGCGCGACGTACTCCTGCTGCAGCAGGCTGTCGGAGAGCCTCGTCATCGCGTAGTCCCGACGCGAATAGAGCTCATGGGACGGGAGCGGGCCGCCCTCGAGGAGCGCGGTGGCGATGCTCTGCTGCAGCGTGCAGTACTCGTCATAGACGGCCTGCTCGTCTACGGTATTGGCGTTGCGCCATGCACGGTTCTCGTCCCGCATCTTGCGTACCATACCAAGGGCGGAGGTGACAAACGGCCGGCTTCCGCTGTCTTTTGCTGCGACTGCCTCGAGCTTGCGCAGCATCTCCTCAATCTCAGTCTCTCTGCCGCTACCGCAATCGCCCTCGATGCCACCGCCGCCATCGCACCCGCCAGGCGGAGGAGAGGCGGCGCTCTCGGCGGGGGATATGAACGGTGGAGATGGCTGCACCTGCAGCGGTGGCTGTGCAGGAAGTGCAGGAGGTGGCGGCGGCGGGTGTGGCAGCGGTGGCGGGGGTGGCGGCAGGACGGGCACGAGGTCGTTGACCGACCCGCGCTGAGGCGGCCGGGCTGAACTGATTACGTCGACTACCTGAGCAGGTGTCGCCGCCGCATGTGTCGCCGCCGAGTGGAGGCGCGACCGCGGACGCGGCGGGCGAGACGCCGTTCACTGACTGTCCGCGCGTGGCGCTGGGAGCGAGCAGGGAGGCCACCATGCGGAGAGACGTGCCCGCCGAGATTTTTTTTGGTTTTTCTTTTGTTCCTTTGCTCGGCCGCTCGGCCGCAAGGGACCGGTGTTGCAATATGTTGAGCGTGTGGGCGTTCGAGGATGCCGACACCAACCTCTACGCTCGGATGTACGACGCTGCCGACGGGCTCAAACGAGGGCGCGTCAATCTGGAGCAGAGCCAGCTGCAGCGCTCGGGTTTGCCGCTGCCGACGCTGCAGCAGGTCTGGCAGATAGCGGACACCGATGCCGACACCGAGCTGACGCGGCCCGAGTACTACGTGGCTTGCCACATCATCATGCGCCACCTCAAGCGGCAGGTTCCCATTCCCGCAGCTCTCCCGCCGGAACTCGCCGCTGCAGCGGCGGCCGCCGCCCAGAGCCCGCTTCCGGCTACCCCCTCCACCGGGCCCACCGAGGAGCAGCTGGCGCAGCAGCGGGCAGCCGAGCGGGCGGAGGCGGAGGCGGCTGAGGCGGCGGCACGGGAGAGGGCCGCCGCGGAGGCGGCGGCGGCGGCGGCTCAAGCGCAGGCGGCAGCCGAGGCTGCAGAGAGGCAGGCGGCCAAGGAGAGGGCGGCGGCGGAGGAAGCCCGGCGCATCGCAGCGGAGAACGAGGAGGCGGAGCGGGCGGCGGCGGAGCGGGCAGCGGCGGTGCGAGCCGCAGCCGTCGCCGCTGCTTCAGCGCCGCCAGCAGCTGAGCCGGCC